CCAAGAAATTGTTGATCGTGTGTTGGAACTTTTTGACAATATTCCATCTACAGAACGAATCATAACGTTACGATGTTTGTTCTTAGATGTTTTGATATTTCATTCATTTACCAGTTTGCGTTCATCTTTATGAAATACTTTTTGATGGGAACCACATGCCCTTTAGTTTTGTTTTGTCCCGCATTTTACTTTCAGCCAGGAATTTTTTTAATCAACTAATTCACCACCTTAACCGATCTCCGAATTTGATTGTATTAATACCGCTTTTAGAAAAAACAGTGCTGATTCACCGATTATGGCTTTATGTTGTGGCGTAATACAAAATTGACTTGTTTGCAAAATGGAATATTAAAGATCTGATGAACACTATAAAGATGCGATCAACGTTTTACGCAATCCAAATTTCGAACTCTTGCAATTTGTTGCTGTTGCTTTACTTAAAGAATTTGTCAATTGTCTTTGGAGTTCAATAGAATCCATCCAAAACATGGAAACAGAGCATTTAATGCTTATTAACAAAATTGAAAAATATTGATGAAGTTATTAATGATATTAATCTAGCTATGGAATGTCAGTCGCATCTCATTCGTTCACTCAAATTATATTTGCGATTTATTTCAAAAGACTCTCATTGCATGAATTAAATATTTTTGCGAAGGACAATGAAAGACATTTCCATGGTTGGCTGATTTTTACTGGGATGAAGGCAACAGCAAGATTAACTTTGTAGCTTATCGCTGTTATAGAAACAGAAGAAGCGTTTACTCAATTATATAAATGCGATCCACATCAGCAATTCGAACAAATTTTGAATAGAATTTTGAATAATTTGACAATAAGTGCAAAAATGTCTATAATCGGAGTTTTGATCACCCACCTATATAATATATGTGCAATTACAGTTGTTAGGCGAAACCTAAGGGTTCCGCCAAAAAAAAATAAATAAATAAATTAAAAGGCGAAATTGGTGAAAGGTGAAAACTGGCGAAAGGTGACGAAACCGGCGAAAGGTGACGAAAATAGTTAAAGTGACAAGACTTGTAAAAATAATAAAAAAAAGTTGAAACGTTTTATGTTATCATTGACCTTTCTACTTCTACTTATTAATCTTTAAATTGCTACATAAAAATCACGTATGTACGTACGTATGTACTTGATATCACACATCACTTGTGTATTTAAGGTATTCAGTAAAGTAGTACTGTACGCTAGTACAAATTCGAATGGTATACGAAAATTATACCGTTAGTAGTTAAAATTTTCTCTAATTATGGGATAGTTTACAAATGCTCCATAATGCATAATGCAAGTCATAGTGAAAAATCATTAATCAATTTTTTTCTAGAGATTTTTTCGAATTTTCCAAGATCACTATTTCCTATTCAATTATTAGAGAAAAGTGATGTCTCACAATTTTTTATTCTCTTAAACTATTTTGTATTTTTCAATTTTGTGAACTGTTTATACTTTATGTGTTCAAAAAGTAACAGTGTTAAATTTTACATACACAAGTATAAAAAATTATAATGCCCAAAATTTATATTTGGTTAGAGATTGTACCAGGCAAGACAATTTTTATTAAATTATCTAGTTATTTATT